GGAGAAGAGGGGGCAGATGGGATCCCGCACGGATTCGCCGTCGCCGCCTCCCCCTCCGACCTGCAGCCTACCCGCCACCGCTGCTCCTTCACCCGTTTTGCCGCCCCGCGGTACCACTTGTACATATTATATCATTGGCAAGCCAGACACGATAAGTTGAAAGATTTAGCCATATAAGCCGGTAGAAGACAAAAACAAAAAATAAATAAGATTCAGAGTATAAAATTGAGAGGTAACCAGGACAGGCTGGACTCATCCATAAGTTGGATACACCCATGATAACCCAAGATGCAGAAAGAGTCTATAAACTTGGCTATTTTTAAACATAATTGAGGCTTGGTTTAAGATCTCCATAACTTGGAGTGTTTGTTGGAAGAGAGAATGAAGGTGTGAACTTAATTGTTAAATGTAGTTGTGTTGCGGAAGCTGGGCAAACCCATAAGTTGGGGGTTGTTCGGTCATACACGCATGTTCTTTGTCTAAGCAGGCTGGACTACCCACAAGTTGGGTAGCCTAGTTCTATGTTATATGTCATTGTTTGGGCTAGCTGGCCACACCATAAGTTGGTGTGTTCTAGTCATATGCTTGTTGTCGTTTCTTGTGGCAAAGGTTGAATCTCCTCATAAGTTGAGGCGGCCTAGTTATTTGTGTATGTCGAATGTTCAGGCTGACCAGCCTCATTATAAGTTGGTGCGACCTGGTCATACGCCTTATGTCAAATCGTCTAGGCAGCATCCAGTCACACCATTAGTTGGTGTGTCATGGTCATATGCGTTACGTTTACTTAGTCGACCAGGCTAGGGCACCATAAGTTGGTGTGGCCTAATGATATAACTTAGGCAGGTCAATCATACCCATAAGTTGGGTTGTCTAATCCTATGTCTTACGTAAGAAAGGGTAAAAGGGTAATAATGTGAAACTGAAACGAATTATGTGATCAGGAAAGGAACCTGATGGTTGGCGAGCGATGTTATTGTGCTCACTTTTGTGTGCGTTTTATTATATTTTTTTGGGATATTATTTCGATAGCTTAGTCACTTTAGATGCTCATTGAGTGTTAAGGCTATAGGCAGGTAAGATGGATAATGAGAGACAAGTTTGGGATAAGATAGGGTTGACCTACTAGTAGATGTTTGCTAATATTTTGAGGGAATACCAAGGGGCGATTAGTGTTATCGATGTTGATATTGGGTTGTCTCAAGTAATTCAACATGAGATATAAACGGGAAATCATCTGCCCTACCACTGCAAACCATACTGGTATTTCCTCGCTAAAAAAAAAAATGACGTTGAAGCAGATCAAAGAGTTTGAAGCAGGGTGCAAGCATACATTTTTTGTATTGAAAAATGTTTTGGCCTCGATGCCCATTTTAATCCGACCGGACCCGGTAAAACAGTCCATACAATAGAAAAATTTCTCAGAATTAAATAATCATTCTATAGTAAAAATACATTCTACATTTTAAATTTTCATTCCATCTTAAAAAATGTTATTCAAATTTTACAATTTTTCGTCTCACTTGAAAACTTTCATTCCAAGAATGGGGTATCCCTTCTTATTTGAACTGCATGCTAGAGATGGAATGAAAGTCTGGATGAGTTTATGAAATATTTTAATTGAATTGTCATTCTATGTAAGGATTTTCAGCCATAAATAGGTTAATTCAATCTAAATAAGAAAATATTTGTTGTAGTAGAATGAAAGTTTAATTAAAATATTTCGTAAACTCGTCCAGACTTTCATTCCTTCTTGAACAAATGGATGTAGTTGGAAGGAAAAAATCATATTTAGACGAGAACTTATCAAATAAAACTGATAATTTTAGAACTTGAAGAACA